AAAATGGTCTATCCCTTTTGGAAAACAATCTAGTGGTTCCTCAAAAGGTAAAATACACAGTTACCATATGACTCAGAAATTCCACTCTCCGGTGTATACCCAAGAGAAATGAAAACTTCCACCTTCCTGAAAACTTGTACACAGATGTTTATAGCAGCATTATTGATAATAGCCACTAAGTAAAAACGACTCAAATGTCCACCAACTGGTGAATGGGTAAGTAAAATGTTGTCCATCCATCCATACAATGGAATCTTATTCAGCAATAAAAGGAGTGGAGTGCTGACACGCGCTACAACACGGGGTTACCTTGAACGCATTCTGCTAAATGACGGAAGCCAGTCACAAAAGACCACATATCATGTGATTGCGTTTATGTGGAATATCCCCAAAAGGCAAATATATAGAGATAGAAAGTAGGCTGATGGTTGCCAAGAGATGGAGGATGGAGGGTAGGGGAATGCAGAGTCACTGGTCGTGGGTACTGCGTTTCTTTTTAGGGTGATGAAATGTTTTAAAATTTATTTTGGTGGTGATGTGGTGTGGTGATTTACAGTTCTGAATATATGAAAAACCATTGTATTGTGCACTTGAAGTGGGCGAATTGTGAAGTATGTGACGTACGTCTCAATAAATCTGTATAGAAAAAGTTACAAATGGACATTTTACCAAAGAATTGACAGTCATGTGTCACTTAATGACAGGGGTATGTTCTGAGAAACGCACTGTTAGGCGGTCTCCTCGTCGTGTGAAGAGCACAGAGAGCACTCACACAAGCCTAGATGTCGTGTGTCTGCTGCCCGCCAGGACTGCGTGGTGTGGCCTGTTCCTCCCAGGCCACATGCCTGTGCAGCTTGTTACCGTGCTCAATACCGTATGCAGCTGTAACACATGGTAAGGATTTGTGTATCTAAACATATCTCAACATAGAAAAGGTACAGTAATAATATGTTGTTATAATCTTATGGGATTTCTGTCATATATGTTGTCTGTCATTGAAATTATGTGGCCCGTGACTGTATATGAAAATTCAATAAGCACATGAAAACATCATTAGATATTAGGGAAATGCAAATTAAAACACAATGGATGCTACTTCATGCCCTAAGGAATGTCTGTAATCAAACAGACAGCCAATAACAAGTGTTGGGGGAGAACGTGGAGAAACTGGGCCCTCATACATTGTTGGTGGCAATGTAAAATGCCATTTTCACAACAGTTTTCCAGTTTCTTAAAATGTTAGCCATAGTTTTACCATATGACCCAGTGATTCTACTCTCAGGTACACCCAAGAGAAATTAAAATGTCTGTCCACATAAAGATTTGCATGTGAATGTTCATAGCATCATTTTTCATAATAGCCAAAAAGTGGGAACAACTCAAATGCCCATCAACTGGTAATTGGACAGACGATATGTGCTGTATGCAT